AGTTTTCTTCTTTTGTGACAAGCGTGCTCAGTGCCCGTGTACCCCTTATGTGACAGGGGGTTTTGAGTCCATTGACAGAGCATAACCCTTTGTTACCCTGAGGTGAAGATGTGGAGAATGCCAGGATGCAGGTAAAGATCACTGTATCACAGTCATACCTGTGACTCCAAATCCTGCTTGCTTTACGTAAGTGACCAGTTTTGTTCACCGTTGCCTGTTATGACTGAGCCTTGACTATTGGTAGGGTGAAACACCTGACAGTGCCTTCTGCAAAAGTCTCAGGTGCCAGCACAGAGGCTCTCAGCCAGCAGAGAGGCTCTCAGCCAGCAGAGAGGCCTCCAGGTTAATTTCTACTGTTCTCTGTCTACCTGGATGGCTACAAATGGCTAGTACTTGTCTTTATTTCCATATAAAGGCCAAATTCAGACCGTACTTTCACTATTTCTAATGTTATTCACACGTTTCTTACTTCTAACTTTCTAGAACATTTTTCCGTTCCATGCAAGCTCTCTGCTAATATTGGAGAATGTTTACAGAATCACAGAACCATAGACTCATTTAGATTGGAAAAGACCCTTAAGATCATAGAGTCCAACCTAGCACTGCCAACTCCACTACTAAACCACGTCAAGCACCACATTGACAGGGGAACACCATTTGTGACTGGCCACCAACTGGATCTAACTGCATTCCCCATCAGTCTCTGGGCTCAGCCATCCAGCCAGTTTTTTTACTCAGTGTATTCCCAACCAAGCCATGAGAGCAGCCAGTTTCTCCAGGAAAATGCTGTGGGAAACGTGCAAAAGGCTTCACTAACTCAAGGTAGACAACATCCACAGCCTTCCCCTCAGCCACTAAGCAGGTCTCCTTGTCATAGAAGGATATCTGGCTAGTCAAGCAGGACCTGCCTTTCATAAACCCATGCTGACTGGGCCTGATCACCTGGTTGTCCTGTATGTGACACATGACAGCACTCAAGATGATCTGCTCCATAACATTCCCCAGCACTAAGGTCTGTAGCTCCCCAGATCCTCCTGCTGGCCCGGCCCTTTCTGTAGATGGGTATCACATTTCCTAACTTCCAGTCAACTGGGATCTCTCCGGTTAGCCAGGACTGCCAATAAATGATGGAAAGTGGCTCAGTGAGCACTCCCACCAGCTCTCTCAGTACCTTTGTGTGGATCTCATCCAGCCCCATAGCATGGTGTGTGTCCAAGTGGTGTAGCAGGCCACTGACCATTTCCTTTTGGATTACGGGTGCTTCAATCTGCCCCCATCATCCAGCTCAGGGGGCTGGGTACCCAGAGAATAACTGCTTTTACCATGAAAGACTGAGGCAAAGAAGGCATTAAGTATCGGCTTTTTCCTCATCCTTTGTCACTGTTTCCCCCCAGCATTCAATACAGGATGGAGGTTCTCCTTAACCACTCCCCTTTACTTGCTAATGTATTTATAGAAACATTCTTTATTCTCCTTTACAGCAGTAGCTGGATTACATTCTAATTGGGCTTTAGTCCTAATTTTCTCCCTGCATAAGCTCATGACATCGTTGTAGTCCTCCTGAGCTGCCTGCTCCTTCTCCCAAAGGTCATAAACTCTCCTTTTTTCCCCTGAGTTCCAGCCAAAGCTGTCTCTGTTTAGCCAGGCCTGTCTTCTTCCCTGCTTGATCATCTTTTGGCACATGGGGACAGCCTGCTCCTTCCCTTTTAAAGTTTCCTTCTTTCCTTCTTCCTTCCTGTCTTTACAAGGCATTACATTCTGTGATACCTAAAAAACTTCTCTGCTACTTACACTCCTCTCTTTAGGACATTTGTATTAAGATACATATTTAGGGAATACAGCTATATAACTCTTCTGTAGTTCAAATATATCCTATGGATCTGCTATATTGCATTTCCAAGCTCCACACTTGACTTCTCTGCTACTTTCTTAATTTCTTAAACTTTGTACTTACACAATCAATAAATTCAGGTCCAAGATAAACTTCTATTTACCTTTCAGTTTAAATTGAGTCAATTCACACCTTTATCCACAGTTACTTCCTGCAACCAGCTCTTTCAAAATGCTCTCACCATTTACCAGAACTAAGCACAGATCGGCGTGATCTCTGTCTGGCTCAGCCTGTTGGTAACTGCTGGCTGCTGCTATGCTTCAGAACTTTAAAGTGTTCTCTATCAGAGACCAGCCACATAATTAACCTCTGCTTGTAAGCTCTTTCTTTTTATTTATAGGTGACCACTAAAATGCTTACCATCAACACACCACTAATATGTTTTGTGAGTATTAACTCGTTAATCCTCACTATTCCTATACCAATAAACAAACAAGAAAATAAGGCATAGGGGAGTTAAATGTCAATAGATACATACTTAGCTGATATTTGATTGGAATTACAATACACATTTCCTTAGATCAGACCTATTTTTAAATGTCAAGCATCCTCACCACTTCCTTGAATGATTCTGTACCAAAAAATGATGCACCTTGAGAGCTCAGTTGTAAATATGATTTCTTTTCCAGTAGTCAAACATTTTGAAAAACATCAGTTTGGGATCCATGAGGATTTGAGAAACTGATTAATAGTAATCTGCCTTTTCCCAGCTCTTGTATCCCTGTATGAACGTTAGCTGTGCCCAGCTCATCATCAAACAGGAAGACAACAGGATGTGTCCTCTCAATCTTTTGCAAAGTCTAACTGCTGATTATGATGTGGTTAAGGAAACCAGTATCAATACAATCAATAGCCACAGCACATGGAAATAAATACCCTGTATGCCCCAGTCTGTCAGATTCAGACTGGCTAACAACCCAGCCATTTCCAAACACATTTCACCTGTCATAGATTATTTGCACATTAGGATAGAGGAGGTGTATAAAGAACATAATCAAAGTAATGTTTGTATCTGCCATGGAGATAATAAGATTTTTGTCATTTCACTGGAATCAGGGTCAAATCCACACCTTTAAAAAATTATGCCATCATAATAAATGACAACTTAATAGATGGACAGTAAGAGATTGACAGCTTGAAGGGAAGACTTACAGGGAGAAAAAGCTTTTACCAGTTTTTCTTGTTTTTCGTGAAGCCATGTCCATACCATATATTATTCAATTAACAAGATCACCCTCTACAGTCACTTGAAAATTCCTCTTATCTTTGTTCCTTTCTTCTGTATGAAGTGAGGTGGATTTTTCCTCCACAGTTTCAGTGAACTCTGGCTGCAGCTTCTAAAAGCCTCATTATCTCTTCTATCACATCAGCTTCTGCTTTCAAGGCTTATTGTTTAGTTCTTAATATGAACTGAGAGACTGAAATCCCTTCAAAACACCCTACGTGGCTTTGCCACTAAGTAACCAGCAAAGCATCATGTCTGCTGTAAGACCCATTTAATCAAAAATCATATACCACATGAACACTGGGATACTCAAAATCTTTGCCAAGTACAATTACCCTAATTTCTTCCTTTAAAGGAACACCTGACATGGTGTTTAAATAGGCTGTCATTTTGAATCTCCATTATGGATTTGATTTTCTTCTGTAAAATATGCATTTCTGTTAGGCATTGTGTCCAGCAGGGTTCAGAAGTAATACGATAGCATCAGTTTTGCAGGTGAAAGAATTTTAACCTGTATGGACTAGGCTACCAGAATGTAATCTTCCTAACAGTAGTTGGCTGTCTGGGTTGAGTAAATCAACCTTACTCTTCTGGTCTCTACTTTGGTCAAGACCTCCTAGAAGCAACTCACCAAGCTACAAACAACTTAAGTATGTGATTATTGCAAAGCAAGCCTCAAGAAGTTTTACACTCAAATGTCACTGAAATTCAATAGGATTTTAGGATCTAATTCCCTGAAAGCCAATCGAAAATTTTCCATCTAAATAAGGGTGTTTGTGTGTATGCATACATATATGTATGCATACATATATACATATATGTCTGTCTCTGTGCATACACATACACAGTGATGTGTAGGCCCATACTTGTACATGTACACAGAAGTGACACAATACTGGAGTGCTTTGAGCTTGACAGAAGGCATTCACATTATGTTTAAGTGAAACCTCTCAATTGCTACTCTCAGCAGTTAGTTCTGTCAAACTAATAATACAGGTCTGCGCAGCAAAATGATACAATATCAGTATTAGCATATAAAATAAAGGTAAGTATAGGTTTCCCATGTCTTTATTTCTTTTCCATTTTCTCACTATTGGAGAAATTTGCCAAACCCAAACGCTTTCATTTCTTTCCCAAGGGTCTATGTGGCATTTTTGTTTTTGATGAGGGAGGGAAAAAAAAGTACTTCTGTTTAAGATACAAGGAGACATTACTCCTTTGATTTGGTTTTTGATACCTAACAATATACAATAAATATAATTACAGTGGACTATTTAATAGTCCTATAAAAGCATTACATGGCCTATAGATGGAGGAAGTCTAGCTGCCTTAACTAAACAAAATAACTTGCTGTAAGAGCAGTTTTCAGGACAGTGATAAATCACAGTGTAATACAATCATGCATTAAGCTCAAAACAAATGTGAGACTGGCACAAATATTAAAGTACAACTGGGCAGAAGTCAGGTATGTACAAGTCATTGACAAACATTGGTGCAAGTGCTTTAGACATTTAAAAGAAATTTACATAAAAACAGATTAAATTTATCAAAGCTTGATAAATTTTAAAGACGGTAAAAAAGTACAGAAAACATGAAAAAATTAAAACCCCAGCCAGTTCATACAGTACAGTTTTACTACAATTATATTACAGAATGAAGACAAAAGGATACAGAGAATTAAGAGCAAAGAAACTTCGACTGGCTGTGGCCAGTGGAATTTCATTGCCAATGAGAGATGCGCACACACAGATGCACGCACACGCACAGAAAACAAAGACAAAACCCAAAAAAATCATTTAGTGTAACAAATGACAGACACAGAGGTGAGAAACATTTGGCATGTTGCAGCACATGAAGTCATTCACGATTGGCTAACGATGGTACCTGGCTCTGCTGAAGATCACTGGCTTGCCTGAGCGGAGTAACGGATGGAGGAGGTACACCTGATGTGGATGCAGATCGACCTAATCTGCAACTTGCTTTCGGCTCTGCGAAGGAAGAGAGAAGAAAATACAACAGTGAACAGGAGGTGGGTTACTGCTGCAGTAAACTGAAACAGGGTGGGCCAAGGCTCCCCTTGGAACAGAGACTCCAGGCTTGGTTCCTAGTTAAAGTCTTGGTTATATGGCTGAATCATTAACAGTTGTTGAGATCAGAAAGAAGAGGGTTAAGACAAAACCTATTCCATGTCCTGGCCTCTTTTCTCTCTTCTACTGTCTCTGAAGCTTAAATATAAAGCACCAGAGAGAGAGGAACCATAAGAGGAAGTCTTCTTGTTGCTCTCCCCCCCACTCCTCCTTTTTCTAGTCCTCAAAAAATAAAGCAGTGACTAAAGGAATTACAGCAACTTCTGGTCTCACCTCCCCATCCCAGAGCTGAGGGAGATGGTAGCCTGAAGACTGATTATGCTGAGGGAAAGCATGAAATGCCAGAAGATGAAGGAAGGAATGTATAAAAGTGGTGAGGATACCGTTGCACTTGGGGGTTTGGAAAGACTCAAAAAATACTTGAAAATCTAATGGTAATGGCAGTGAATTGAAAGACATAAAGTAGGGAGAAAGGAGAGAAATCGCAACATCAACAGTGGTGAATTCTGAAATCAGTTCCTCAGAATCAAGGTTATTACAAAAGTGGAGGTTGTCTTGAGAGAAAGCTCCATTCCAGAGAGAAATTACACAGTTACTTCATTTTCCTTCTGCTATTGTACATGGACCCATTTCTCAGAAGGCTCTCAGGGCAGGTTTCTGCTGTTAACATACCAACATGAAGGTGACCATACAGCTTGGGAGTCCTGGATGAAAGTTTTTGTATCTGACTCATGCTGACACCAGTGTGCTACTCCACTATTCAACACCCCATATCTAGTACAGAAGAAACTGCTTTTGCCTGAGAAATGGGTTTGCCTGTTTCTGCTCAAGAAAAATATTTGTCCCCACATTTCCTGTTAGTGGCCAAGGGAACATGTCTCAACCCATGACTTCTGGCTCAGATGGGTGTGTTCGTTCTGCACATGTTTTATAAGCCTCCCAACCCTGCCCGTCTTTTATATTTAGTGGGCAAACACTGAGAACAAGGACATTTGCACTCAGCAGACATACTTTGTATAATAATAGGCTCTCAATTTTAGCACTGATAGTACTGCCTTACCATGAATAACAAGTAAATATAATAATACCATGCTGCCTTGCAGTGGGTTTAAAGAATTCTTCCTATGCAATCTTATGTTTCCAAGACGCGAGGAACCACCTATGCCTTGTGCAATCCTGATTCAGTAAGTTTGCTTTTGAAACACATTTTCTCACATAACTTCTGCTTGTGTCTCCAAAATGTGTTTTCGCATGCCCCATTTACAGTGCGGCTTAGTCTGTGTTTGTTTTATACTAATATCTGTGTTTCCTACATGGCTCTCTAGTATCATCACTAGCCACTGTTTGGGCCATTGTTTGAAAGGCATAAGATGTCCATCACTAACACGTACTTAAGGTCATTTGGCACATCTTGGAAACTTGAGGGCGGCTGGCATGTTACGCCACCTACCAGCAACATGCTGAAATGTATTCTTCCAATCTCACTGATCCTTTTTCATTGTCACCTTAAATGTTTATTTTCCCAGGATGTTTCAGAATTCAATAGGATATGGAGAAGAGCTATCCACTTAAGCTGGAGCGCTTAGACCAATGAAAGCATCTGTATGGGTGAATATTCATCAACTAAATATTAATAGGTTGGTTAACATCCAGCTGGCTGAGCAGCAAAAATATTTATGCTGTTTGACGAATGCATTATTCAATTCACTCATTCCTAGTCAGTCTGTAAACACACCATGAGTCAACATGGCAATAAGCAGGCAGAAAGGAACAGACTGATTTCCCCCATAACCTTGCATTTTGTACATAATCTGTTGCTTTGGTTGTTTTTTTTTATTTTGGACTTGGGCAGTTATTCTGAAGTTTTGATTAGACTTGTTTTTGTTCTGATTTTACACTGTCTGTGTGCCAGATCTCTGAATGTTTCTTTCAGTAATACACATATAATATTGGACCTCATTCTGTTCCTTCCTGGAATTTTGCTGGGGTTGTAGAGAGGATAAGATTTTGGAGTATTTTTGGTTGGTTTTCCCTACTGCTAAATAGAGACTCTGTTATTGCTGTGACAAGCAAAATATGACACCAAGCATGTAAAATACTCCAAGACAATGTCTGCCATTGCTTCTGAATTGTTTTCTTTGCTTTGGGAAAGCAGAGAGAAGTGTCATAATTTCCAATTTGGATATATGTGCAACAACAAAAGATTACCATTTCCTTGCCAAAGAGACTCCTTTCATCAGGCATCAAAGAAATAGAACCTATCACACACAGAAGAAGTATTAGTTCCTTTATCTCCCTGTAATCTATGTTACAGTATTAAGCAAACTATTGTGATTGCCATGGTGATCCTCACCAAAAGAGGCTCCAGAGACAGCTCCATGTAGCTTTTATCAAGTTTAGGTGGGTTATGCAGTGAAAGGTAGATAGTTTTTTTTTTGTTGTTGTTGTTTTGGTTTGTTTTTTTAATAGCCATTCCATTAATCTCAGTGGGAATATTTTTAGACCAAATAAATATTCTACTGTAATTAATGCTTTCAATAACACCTTCATGCTGCATACTACTGTGGGGAAAAAAATATCCATAAATAGTCTGCTGCATAAGTGATGCCCAGCTTACTGCTGCGCATTCTGCAGCATGTTATTTTTCAGCTGTGGACATCTTATTCACTGTAATGAGGCTAGCTGGATTTTGATCACTTCAAAATAATAATGATCACTGCAAATAATAACTTCTGCTTTGGGCTATCTAAAAAGTAGTAAGAGGTCTTTTGTGCCCACCATCCAGTCATTTTCAGTATCTTTACCTCTGGGTTTTCATGCTTTAAAGGGTCATTTCAGCTTGTCTGCAAGGCCTGAATATTGACATCAGTTCTGGTTCTGGAATGAAAATGGGTTTTCCTGTTTACCACTGAGAATCTTGAAGGAGGAACAACAACTACCAGCAAATCTCAGGGATGGTTTCTAGTGTTTGATTCATGTATATCTCATGTGGATGATATTGAGACAGCTCAATCTTAACATCCGAAATGAGTAGTTTTGAGACTTCTTGCTAAGTCCCATTTGTGACAGTAATACATGGCATGGAGCTGAGCTTTATCAGCCAGCCTCACAAGCACATAGGAGAAGCTCTGTAGATCTGTCTTCTGAGGAGGACCCATCAGCTCAGAGCCCATGACAATGCAAGCTAAAACACATCCAGCTGCGTACTGACAGCACAGCAACCTGTCACTTCACTGTGCAGGTGGATCCTCTGGTTCTAAATCAAACCTGCATAAAGAGAGTTTCAGAGACTTCACTCCAAACACAGGCCCTGCCTGCATCCACAGCTAGGGGCCTTTCAACACTGTTATAAGCCACTCAAAGGCTGACAAGGGCTAACAGCCTGCTGCCAAGCGAGGGAACTCATAGGCATATGTCTAAGTGCTTTATTGGACTGGGGCCAGAGGATGCAATGCACTTGAGTAGCCATTAGAGATGCCTGTTGCAATCAATGGACAGCATGAAGTTTAAATTCAGCAGATTGTTCAGGGTAGCTAGAAAGCTGCATAACATATTTAGTTCTGTTCTGCACAAATATGTTCATAAGATTCAGTGGCTATATCTAACTGATGAAACTCTGGGGGTATTCTTTTGCACAGCTTCAAATGACTCATCCCTCACCAAGTGCCCAAAACACCTACAGGAGCCAGGAGCAGATGCAGTGTAATGTTAGTAGGGGATAGCAGTTATATCACCCACAGCAGCCACAACACTCCCAACAATGCTAGTGCTTGAGGCCACAGCCACCTCAGTATGAAGTAAACTCACACATGTGGTCACCTGCAATGGGACCAGCTATACTGGACTCCCAGGTTCAAGCTGAGTCCTGACAACGCCAGCAGGATTACACAAGGACATAAGCAAGCAAACAGCCCCGAAGGAAAGCACTAGGGATGAGAATTTTAGGAGAGACTATCAAACACAGAAATACAGGCTTTCCAATCACAAACAGGATTGCCTTAAAATTGTGTACTTAATTATGTATTTAAGAACTGACATAAATGACCCTGTCTTCTAAAAGAGCAAGTGCTGTCAGCGTAACTAAGGATGTACAGGCTTGGCTGGTTGTGTTTGGGGCAGGTTGTTGGATTTTCCTCAATAAAGCACAGTGCTGAAATGCACCAAGATTATATGGAAATATTTCTGATCAGTTCTATATCAATGTGTTATGGGTTTCTATATTCTCCAGAAATACAACAGCTCTGCATGATTTTTATTTTTGGATCTTAACAGGAAGAGTTCTTTTATTCATCCAAGGAAGCCTTCATTCTGTCTATCCTAATCTTAATTCAAAAAAATACTCTGGCTGTCACTTACATTGGAGAAGCTTCTTACCCTGTCACAGTCTCTTCTTTGCACATGAAAAGAGAAATATTGCTTATTTGCTACAGCTGCCAAGAAGCACATTTTGACTTAAACAAGGCAATGTGACAGGCTGAGAGTAATCACATGCAAAAAGAAAGGAAAAACAAAAAGAAGAATACATGCATACTGGAAAAAAAATAATCACACTTATTATCAGCATGCTGGCCTGGCCATGTTGGTTTCCTAAAAAGAGATGAGTAAGCTGAAATGTGACTTGGAATTCTGAAACCTTAAGGTGGAATAAACTACATAGTAGTCTGTCTCTTAAAAGTATTTAGGACTTCACCTGCAGAAGCCATGGAGCATGACATAGCACAGGAGCATGTCAAACAGAACTGTTTCCACAAAGGGAGTACTGAACCTGTAGAACTCAATATTGATAGATTTTCATAGGTCAAAAGCTAGCACGTCTCAAAGCCAAGTCAGTTAGTGAGAAAAAAACACTTCCGTATTAGATGGGGTATGTTTTAAATTAAGATTTGTTGTGAACTGTCGTATCTCAGGTCTATGTCAATGACTGAGGCAATGAGGTAAGGAATAACAGTGTCCTACTGGCAGTGTTTTTTCCTTAAAATTTATTGCTATTTTTCTCTGAAGGTTCTGGCATGGACTACTGTCAGTCTCGGGGCTCTGGATCTATAGGACAATTGTGTATTATTCCAACTACCTGTAACGCCACTGCTGCAGGGGGCAGCGTGCACTTCGACAGTCAGGCTCTGTGACTGTGTGATCCTACACCCTGGAGATCATACACTTGGCTAACACTGCACTGGCTTGATGCCTTTAGTGTACAGCTCCCAGTACTACTCATTTTATGTTAGGTGCCAGGAGCTGCTTGTGTGTAGAGAACATGAGTGACCAACACAGGCAAGGTCTGGAAGCACTGCAACCTGGGCTGGACCTTGTTGGGCAGGCTGCCCAGGAACATGTATCTCCAAGCATTAAGTTGCCTTCAGTTGGAGAATCCTTGAAGATTCAGTAGCACAGTGATACTCTGATATTGCCTGTGAGGAGAAAATTTAGGGGTTCATAGGAGTACTCAGTCCTCTTTAAGTGAAGCAGCCCCAGCTAGCAAGAACTGGTACTTCAATGCTACTCCCTTTTGGCACCTTGGGCTTTGCATTGCTCTATTCCCAAAGAGCTTGAATTTAACTACCCATTACTTTTGCAAATCCATAATGCCAGCCGGTAATTCCAGTGTAGGGTTAGCATTCAATCCCTTCCTGATTATCTACAATGTTTTCAGCTAGAATAATAATGGGCTGGCGAAGTGACAAGCTGATGGTGATTCAAAAACAGGACACAGTAAGAGTAGAGTAAGATTTAAAAGGCAGCGCAGTGCCTGTCTCTAGCAGCAGGTGGCAATGCAAAATGCTACACGGTTTGCGGTTAGGAAAAAAAGCAGCAACATTCCAGAAAATACTCTTCGAAGCTCCTGGAGCGAAGTTATCACAGCCTTCTGTTTCACAGATCTCGTCTGCCTGTTTTCTGCACTTGCATTGACTTTCCTAAATGCCAGAATGCCCCCAAACCACTTACACTGCTTTCCATAAGAAATGACAGGATGCCAGGAAACAGAAAGTGACCTTGACAAATTATGACAGATGAAAGAACAATCAGGCATTAGTGATACCCATGTGCACCTGACAGGCCAGGCTCATATGAACAAAATAACCAGAGAGCTCATGATTCTGTTTGGAGATGGCTCATTTCCCATCTGATCTAACAGCAGGTGCAGAACCCACAAAAAAATCAGTAATCTCAGTCAGGTATTCACTCAGACCATTCCACTTACTAGTTAATCTGTGCTGCAGCAGAGCTGCCTGTTGTGTGCACATGAGAAGTCATTCCACATCCTTTCAGTTTTACAGCACAGCAATTTAACCCTATTTTCTTTAAATTATTCCAACACTGCCCTAATAAATGCCTGTACCAGTGTGAGCTAGGAGGTAGGCAGCAAACTGCTGTTTCAAGGCATGACCACACAAGAAAAGTGGTATTTTTTTTTTCCTCTTATCGATGATTTTAGAAAGAGAGCAACAGCAATGACAACTGTACCGGGGATTTTATTTAGTCCTGTAGTAAACCTAAGTTCTAAATTCCTAGCACAGAATTACTTCATCCCCTTGACTCCAGAAAGCATTTGTATCCATACAGATGTATTAGATTTCTCTTCTTGCATTCTGTTACAGTTCTAATTTAATTGAGAAGAATGAACTGTTGAAGTTCATGTACAAGTTCATTGAGAGGAACTGTGTACAGAATTTTGAATGCAGCATCCCACTGATTAAAGGTAAAACATGTTGCTCAGGCAACAGCCAGAGACACAGGGGGACAAATATTCATGGCAGATGAGAGGCAACATTCATCAAATGAAATGTCATAAAAACTGTGGGGAAAGAGAAATCAAAATCAGCTTTCAGATTTTAATCACAAAAAGAGTCAAAATTCAGCCAATAAAATATTTCCATGATTTTTCTTTGACAGTCCTAGCTATGGGAGACAAAGTCACAGTTAACTAAATCAAGGCATGCTTCAACAGCTATTACAGTTTGCTGATGCCAAATGAAGATTGAGGCCAACATGCTTTGTCTGCTTTTGGAGATCAACCAACTCTTTGAAATAAAACTGATGCAAGAAGGTTGGACAGAAGTACTACATTTTGCTAAGAACTTACTCTTTAATTTTCATTCTCTTCTACTCTGTTCCATACTGTCATTTTGCAGAACTGAAAACACTGGTACACACCTTTGGTCTAATTATCAGACGTCCCAGTACTTTGATGTGGTACCTTTAAACCCACCCTTTTACCTGCATTAGCACAGATGATGCTCTAATACACTGGGAACAGATTTTTTTACAAAGCTATGAGCTAATCTGGAAAATTCCTACCTACCAGGATGCTTTGTGAGAAAAGGGAAGCAAGTGAAAGGCAGTAATACCCAAATAATCTGTGCTAGGGCCATGAGATCTGCAGAAAAGTAACTTCTGCTGCCCCAGGAAGAACGGTCTGGGGGATTTGAAGCAAGAAAAGCTGAAACATCCGATTACTGCAAACGATACATCACATCAGCAAAGCCTGTTCAAGTTATATGCTGAGTTTCAGGTGTCATTCCCAGCAATGCAGAGAAAATATGAGTCCTATTGTCATACAGGAACGTGTTCCCCTGCATGACTTTGACACGCATGTGAGGTGGGCTGATGCTAACCTCATGAAGTTTAACCATGACAAGGGCATGGTCCTACACCTGGGTCGGAGCAACCCCAGGCACAGCTACAGGTTGGGCAGAGAATAGATTCAGAGCAGCCCTGCGGAGAAGGACTTGGGGGTGCTGGTCGATGAGAAAATGAACATGAGCCAGCAGTGTGCGCTTGCAGCCCAGAAAGCCAACCGTATCCTGGGCTGCATCAAAAGGAGTGTGACCAGCAGGTCGAAGGAGGTGATCCTGCCCCTCTATTCTGCTCTCATGAGACCTCACTTGGAGTATTGTGTACAGTTCTGGTGTCCTCAACATAAATAGGACATGGAACTGTTGTAACAAGTCCAGAGGAGGGCCACAAGGATGATCAGGGGACTGGAGCACCTCCCTTATGAAGATAGGCTGAGAAAGTTGGGGCTGTTCATCCTGGAGAAGAGAAGGCTGCGTGGAGACCTTGTAGCAGCCTTCCAGTATCTGAAGGGGGCCTATAGGGATGCTGGGGAGAGACTCTTCATTAGGGACTGTAGTGATAGGACAAGGGGTAACAGGTTAAAACTTAAACATGGGAAGTTTAGACTGGATATAAGGAGGAAATTCTTTCCTGTTAGGGTGGTGAGGCACTGGAATGGGTTGCCCAGGGAAGCTGTGAATGCTCCATCCCTGGCAGTGTTCAAGGCCAGGTTGGACAAGGCCTTGGGTGATATGGTTTAGAGCGAGGTGTCCCTGCCCATGGCAGGGGGGTTGGAACTTGACGATCTTAAGGTCCTTTCCAATCCTAACCATTCTATGAGGGGCTAGCATGTCTGCTAGCTCAGCACTGTGAAGACTCATCTCTGCCACTGACTGCCCAGTGGATCTCTCGTGCAGGAATAATTTCTTGTTTGAGAAGCTCATTTATGGTCTTACGCTTACTGAACATTGACCATAATAAGGCTTCAGTACAATGTATGCCAACTGTTTAAAAAATGGCTATTTTTCAGAATCTGAACAATAAACAGTGAAGTTACTTCTTTAAGAGATAAGTCAAATCTCAAAAAACCCCAATACAATACTTATGCTAGAGCTATGCATAGCTGATCTATATCGTTCATGTATGTGCTTGTCTTAGTCAATTTATAAACAAGGCTGCGTTATTTTTCCGGGTATACAGCAATTCACTATTTTATATATATAAAATCTGATTAATAAAATGGATGAATTCACATGATTTCTGAAGGTATGAATTTGAGACTTCTGAAATCCATAGTCACTTCTATAGAAATTGTTTACTAACATAAAGGAAAGGTTGCCTGTATCCTCTCACTGTGCATATCAGTAAGACAGCTTTGTTTCTGCAGTGTGGTTTTCTTGCTGTATGTGATATCTGAATTTATGAACTTCCCTCTGAGATGTCATCCTGCAGGTGTCTTTGCCATAGAGTCCCTTTTCAATGTCAAGTGGAATTCCTTACTTCTTTTAAAATAATGAGCGGCAAGTTAACAAGCTTTATTACCTGCCACCATCTCAATCTTGTTCCAGTCAGAGCACAGGCAAACAGCACAATACCTATTAGTGCAGCAGACGATGGGCAGGGCAGATTCTGGAATATTCTTGGAAGTCTAAGGAATTTGCACACTTATCTACTTCAGTGTATATCTAGACATTCTTCAGCTCACAAGGAGATTCATGAGATCTTCCCTGCTCTGCCACTTGACCTACCTGAGCTGTTGCCTCCAGCCAACATGGTTGGGCTGACAGAGGATCTCCCAAGCCTGCTGGACACTACAGGCGGGCCTGGCGTTCCATCCCATTCCTGAGCTTTCCCTGGCTCCCTAGAGGAAGCTGTCCCATGATGGCCTCCCCTCTCTTTGTTTTCCAGCTTTGGTAGTGGTTCAGTGCTGTGACTTCTGATCTTCAGCTCATCTAGGGGTTCTACAAAATACACAAGTGCACATTTGGTTATAGAGTGTCTGTTAATTACACCATGTAACAATCTTTTGCTCAAAATTCCATATATACCAATTATAAATCTTTTAAAGGCAATTTATAACACAATTTCACTGTCTAGGTGTAAACCTTATAGTTTATGTAGGTTTTAAGATACTTTTTAGTTATCAAAAACATAAAGCAGCAAATGGGTAAAAAGTTATTTTTCTGTTACAACTTCTATATGTCAGGGAAACACTTTAAAAACTGGTATCCTACCAAATTATGCTTATATTAACAATTTATGGAAACAACTGAACTCTTTTCAGCTATCATTTCAATGGGAACAAGTTCTTCTTCAGGCGCTTTTTAAGGAAGCTCTCTCCTAAAGCAGTAGTGTGCAAGCAACATAGCTGTACTCCTCATAAGCTCTAATAAGAAGCACACAACCCACAGAACTGTCCAGTGTTAATATTTTGAGTGTGCCCAACACCATAATCTGCAGAATAAAATTTCATTTGGTTGGAAAATCCTTGGAGTCAGAAAATAACTTTCTGCTTGCAACACCATGAGCCAATATAAGAAGGAGAAATTGAAAACACAATTGAGTGATTTTTCAAGTGAAGTAGTGATGTCTGCTTTCTTCATGGCTGGTGATCTTCTGTTCTTTTCTTGAGACCCTAACTTCTTGCAGGTTGAGCAATGCATGGAGAAACAATTCATCCCTGATCTTTTCCTTCTGTAGCTCTTAAAAATTCACAAGAAAAAGTAGATACAGAAAAAAAAAATAGATTGTTTTCAGTTGTAATAGCAGTTGTAATTACTGTGCTAGTCAGTTATTCAAAGCTTGTTAAACTGTTTGCCTCCTTTTAGCAAAAAAAGCCCCAAAAGTCCCTCTGAGTTTGGAATTTTAGGCCTCCTATTTAAGCCCAAACCACCCTTAGGTAATACTCTCAGTTCCTTCCATTCAGATTTATAAATCAGACCCCTGATGTATTTAATTTCTGTATGTCTAAAGTCTTGGAATTCACATTTGATAGAGATGGACAATCTCCCCTTGGGCCCTATCTTTTTGTGGCTACAGGGGCCACTACAAGATCTGGGAGAGCCAAGCAAAGGAAAATCACCAGAAGCCATTTGCAGGCAGGAGATGTCAAGCGCTTCCCAGGGAACTTATGTAGAATGGCAGTGGCCTGGCTCTGTAGGACTGCCGGAGATGCAATACAAAGTTTGCTCCAGCAGCCACTTCCTTTCCCACTTATACCCATGGCCAGGAACTGGGACTATTGGTTGCTCCTCAGATGAGACAGTCCCAGAAAAAGAATCGCATTCAAACCACTTTAATTTCTCTGTGGCTCAAAACCCCATACACTGTTCACCCTTGCTAGAGCAAACAGTGGAAGACACCATATTAGGTATCTATCTACATGGTATGGTAGAGACTCCACCCGTGCACAACTGTAACAAAATCTCATGTTGTTTTGAGTTCTTCGACTTTCCAGTCTGCAGATGAACTTCATGAGCAACAGCATAGGCAGCTTGAAGTTTCCTTTATGAAACATCATACCGGAAACGTAAAAATATCCAACTGGATATGCAGCGCGATATGTAACCACTAGTGTATTTCATTAACTGCTACCAACTAACTGTAAAAATTAATGTTGAGAATATCATACCTGTCAGGATTTATTATTTTTAATAGACACAGTAGTATCACTCCACAAAAACAGTGAAACAACCCCAGTTTAGCATATCTCTTAAACAGGATGCAGTGACATTTTATGTGACACAGGCCTTCAAAAAATCAAACCTCTTCCTTCAACTTCTAGGTTATTTACCTACTGTAATGTGTGCAAAAAGACACTGTAATGAAAATCCAAACTGTCTTTTCTAGTCGGTAACCCCAGCAGGGTCCAAGGTTGAGTTAACAGTTTACACCCATATAACACATATAGAGATGTAGAGCCCAAATTATAACCACATTTGAATTGTTTTAGTTATCAACAAAAAAATCTCTTGCATTTTTTCTTAGCACTGGTCTATCAAAAATAATAATGTACTTTTCCCCATATCAGCTACATACAAATATATATGTTCTTTTCTTTATACCAAACATATCTGTTTTTTTCTTTACACCAGTAGCATTCACTTCTTTAAGATACTACTTATCTGGGAAAGGGAAAGATATGAACAAAGTTTCAAACTTCTTTGGAAATGCACACTATCCTCTCTCCCAGCAATACAGGATGCTGTCTAGATCGCAGCTTTTCCTCTCCGGCAAAACAAGAGAAAGCCAAAATAATAGAACACGTTTTAAAATAGTCAGAATTGGGCCCTGTAAGTGACCCACCAACTTAATGCATCACTCAATAGATTTAATTTACTGTCATTCAGCTGCTACTGGAAATGCTGTGATTACCTCAGTGAAACCCTTCTCTGTGTGTGCCTCATTGACACTACTTGAACACCACCCCTTGAAATTTCACACACTCATGCAGTCAGCCCTTCGCTGCAGTGGAAATGCTCTGCTTGAGTATGAAGTTAAAGATTTATCCACTTCAGTTTACTTAACAGAGAAGCATTTGTACTTGTTGGCTGATAAAAATGATTTGTGCATCCTTAGTTCTATTATCAGCTGAATCAAAGTACAGCAGCTCTCTGCAACCAGCTGGAAACTATGGAAATATTCAGACTAAATAAAGATTTGGCTTATAGTCTACTTCTTTATAAAGTGTAGAAAATCAGTTTTCAGCTGGATGTCTAGACTTCGTAAATTTACATTCCACTATCCTTTCTTGGGGGATTTTCAGTTCTCAGTTTATCTGAAAAGTAATATATCTTAAAAATGAAAAGCAGATTGGATCAGATTACAATGTCATGCAACCCATCACAGAGCCTGAATCATTATTATTTGGTGATCAGTATCAGCAACATTGATACACAGTCAGAAAAACAACATATCAGTGTTCTGGATAGTTTTCTGTGATATTACTTTCCTGGTCACTTGTGAATACATAAAAAATGAAAAACAAAAAAGCCTCACTTTCACTCAAATATTCTGGGGAGGACTTCAGAATAATTTCAGTTTCCTTAATAAATGACAATGGGAATCATACTTGAATTTAATTAATAAATCACCTGGCTAGTTGTTGCTTGACTTAAAAAGTAGCTCAGTTCTAATGTGTCCATGACAGCTCCAGAAATTCAGAATGCTCCTTTCCCAGGTCAAAGCACATTGTTGGGACTTTTTGCTGACCATCCCAGTCACTTGCATATTTTCATACTGTCAACTACTCCCTGCAGCAAACACAGCTCCAAGGAACAAGCTCAGTGGCACCAATTATTGTGTCTCATCAAAGCACGTTCATTGCTCCAGATTTTTCCTCCTGCAGTCAGGCACAATTCATTGTCAGAAAGCAGATCATGCTTTCTGTACCTGCTAGCTATGGTTACCTATGGGGTGGTGACCACCTCATTGACTGAAAATCAAACCACTATATTTTAAACAGGGTAAGCTTTTCTAAAAGCTACAGGAGGATTTAAATGGCCACTTTACCCACACTGATCCCATACGGATACATGCACTCTAACTGGCCATATATTTATTCTGCTGAAAGGCAGCAGTAGCTGCTGCACAGCTTTTTTATTTATTTTTTATTTGAGAAGTGTGGAAACACAGGTGGCATCTAAGTTACCTCATGCTGTTCAAAACCTTAATTTGGAGTTAGGAGATTCTGAAGCTCAGTGTTATGCTGGGAGCAGCCTCAATCATATGATGGCCACAGGCAAATCTTTTCACAGTCAAGTGCTGTATTTTGAAAGCTGAAATTATTATGGAAAACATCTTTATTGTTCAATAATTCGTAAGCCAAAACAGTACATAAAAATGTAAATTTCAAGAAATAATTCACTGCTTTAAATATTTATGGATACAGTTGATTGAACTGCCATAAAAGCGTTCAAATGTTTCAAGCACTTCCAGGTGTCATTGTATTTCAATATTCAAAGACATGCATTTTTCTTATTTATTTCACCTGAACCTCAGGTTTTCCATTTCAAGAATAAGGTGGTGGCTAAATTCTCTTAGACTGAACATATTTTACAAATAATTGACATGTACAATTTCCCCTCTATGGAAGGTTCCTCTAATAGCTGCGCACTGGGCAAGGCTGGCACATGAACTGTGGTAGGGGAAAAATCATACATACTAAAGAAAGTGGGAAGCAGACTGAGTCTGCAGCTATAACTTGGACAAAAGCAGACTGAAAAATACAGCTACGGAAAACATTGTACCTAAAAAGCTATGGTCTGCCACTCTGTTCTTAAGCACAAATGAATTTCAGGTCCTGGTGGCTTCTTAGTGTAATGCTAAAGTGATAAACAGCAGAACCTTTGTTACAGCTTGAGGTTTTTGGGGGGCAGAAAGAAAATCAATTGTCTTAAGGAACTTAAAATGAGGGTCGCTCTCTGCTGTCTCTCTCAGCTGTGAGCTGAAATGCATAACCTAATCAGCCATGCATTATTCATTTACTCTTTTTTCTGTGTGTTTGTAATAAACCTAAATAAATAATACATCACTCTAGGCAGAACTTGCATACTGTGGGGATTAAATGGTACTACTCACAGGGTCTAAAATTCAGCATATGCATACAGGTGTAAAGCAAAGTAATTCACTTGAGATGAGGTATAGATGGGAATCAGGACTCCTGATCTCCTCCAGTCCTGACATGTCAGACCTCACCTTGTATGGCTGCGAAGGGCCACGGACTTGGCTGAAGAAGCAGGAGCATAGAGCATCCCCAATGGCACACTTGGCCATCAGGAAGGGTGGAGACATGAGATTAGACTGCAGCCAGCATGTGTGTGTGTGAAGTTCAGAGCTAACAGAGGCAGCCTTCTCCTCCTACCCTCTTACATGAGGCAGACTGCCGGGCTGGCAGCAGCACTGCCCAGTGAGCTGGGCCAAACCCTGGTCTAACCATGGGCCAGGCACAGCTCCATCAGTT